AGCGTTTGGAGATTGTGTAAATCATATTATGGGATGTTTTCCAGGGTACTGTTGGCATATGTGAGATTCATTGTGGGATATTTATGGGAAGGACCAAAAGCAGGAAAAGGGAGGAATCAAAGTGGGTTGAGGAGGAACCAGTGTGGGATAAAACAGGGAAAAAGGGGATGAATGGAGTCAGCTGGGTGTAAACAGGAGGCTCATCAGTATACTTGTCCCGTGCTTCGTCACCATGATCTGTCCTGTCTTCTCACTAAAGTCCACTTCTAACTATTTTCCAGGGTGAGGGTGCTCTCCAGTGTGTCTGTTGGGGTCCTAAGTGCCAGCAAATAGAGAATAGAGAAGGAGCCATGGGGTCACGGAGACTCCACAGGTTTGAGGTGCCAGCATCAGGAGAGATGTGTGTGGGAGGTCCCAGTGCCAGCAATTGGAGAAGGGACCACAGAGCACAGGGGCCCATAGGTGCAGGGGCATCATCTGGTGAGACCAGAGTGCTTTCCTAACTAGCTTCTACCAGCCATGTGTGCACATAGGCTTCACTCACTAGCAAACTTCAATATGGACTGTCTGGCAAGTGGGACAGAAGGTGTGGGAGCCAGTGACCAGAGACACCTTAGGACTGGGACCAGTACTGGAGAGACCATAGATCCAAGCCAGCTACTGAAGAGACACAAGGATCTGAGAGTTACTGCTGGGGGCAACATAGGTCTGGACCTGCTATCAGTCGGGGCAGATGCAGAAGGATGTAACGAGAGCTGCAGCTAATGGGCTACCAGATTTGGCAACTCCAACATAAACCATGCTTTCATTTGAGTCCCTTTCCTGGCTGAGTTTGAGTCAAATATATTTCAAAATTGCTTTTCAGCATTCAGTGTATGACGCTTCTCCTGTAAAAACTAACTGTGTAACTGCTCCCAGGAAAAAAAAAGATGACTGTAAATTTGCATACTCAGTACAGAGGTGCTACTATCTAATCTTGTCCAGTATCTCAAAAACTCCATCAAAAAGCTTCCTTCCCTCCAAACTGTCCATTCTTTACCCACAGCTTTGTAGTTAAGGACTTCAGTGGGCTGCATTAAAGAACATTGTGTGCAGCTCTGAAATGCCACAATTAATTTCTCATTGAATTTATTAGCTAGGCGTAGGCTATAAAACATTTTAACGGGCATATTTGCTGATTTCAAAGCCTTTTGGCTTTGATCAATGAATATGATAAATGAAAGGGTGAGTTAAATTAGTTAAATGACAT